GTCCTCGCTCGCGAACGCTGCCGTCGAGCAGCTCTCGGGCGAGGAGCTCGTCGCGGCGCGGGCGCAGGTCCAGGACCACGTCGGCCGCCTGGAAGCGGACAATGCGGCCCTCAAGGCGCGCGTCGCCCTGCTCGAGGGCGACGCGGCCGCCGCGCGCGCCCGGCAGGCGTGCGCCGCGACGGACGCCGCCCCGCGGGCCGTGACGCCGGAGGACCGCGAGCAGCTGCCGCCCGGGCTCGAGGGCCTCGCGCCGTGGTCCGCGGCCGTCGAGGAGCCCGACGCGCTCGAGGCCCTCGCCGCGGCGCTCGCGGCGCACCCGGAGGACGAGCGCTGCGCCGCGGCGCTCGAGGCCCGCGCCCTGGCCGCGGCGCGCGCCGTGACCGGCGAGTTCGAGCGGCGCGCGGCGGCGGACGGCGTCGTCGCGCGCTGCGACGCGGCCGTCGAATCGGGCGACGGCGACTTCCGCGACGTCTACGGCGTCATGTGGGACCGCGTCGCGCGGCGCTCCGACGACCTCGCGGCCTACGTCGCCGCGGCGGCGCCCTGCGCGGCCCTGGACGGCGCCGGCGCGGCCCAGCGCGCGGCGGGCGTCGCGGAGCTCGTGAGCGGCGCCGCGCGGACGAAGGAGCGCTTCGACGCCCACTTCCGCGCGCTCGGCGACGTCGCGGGCGTGGCCTGCGACCCGCCGGCGGCCCTGAAGAAGGTCGCGCGCATCGTCGAGAAGGTCGTCGCCCTCGGGTCGCCCGCGCGCGTCTTCGACGTGCTCCGCTGTGCCGAAATCAACCACCGTCTAGCTCGGTCAAACCGAAGTCGATTCGGCTGATTTTTGGACGGATCGATTGCTCTCTGTCGAGTTCTCGAAGCAAAGCAGGAAAAACTGCATCAAAACCGTCGCATACGCTCACATTGGAGTCGGGTTGAAGATTTGATTTCCACACAGGTGCTCCGCTGCCTCGTCGTCGTCGACGACATGGCGCTCGCGGCGGCCGCGCTCGGCCGCGTCGTCGGCGACGCCGCGCTCGACGTCGTGCGCGTCAAGGAGCGCTTCGTCGCGCGCCCGGCGGCCGGCGGCTGGCGCGACGCGCTCGTCAACGCGCGCTTCGCGGACGACGACGTCGTCTTCGAGGTCCAGATCGTGCACCGCGAGCTGCTCGTCGCGCGGCGCGGGTTGCCGGGCCACGCGATCTACAACAAGGTGCGCACGGCGCGCGAGACCCTCGAGAAGATGGGCCTCTCCCGCGACGACCGGCCGCGGCGCGTCCGCGAGCTCCGGACCGGGGCCGGCGCCACGGCGGCGCGGCTGCGCGCGCTCGGCGTGTCGCTCGACGACCTCGTCGCGGCGCGGTGCTTCGACGCGTCCGAGCTCCGAGCGGGCGGCGCGTCGGCGCAGGAGCTGCGGGACCGCGGCGTGCCCCTCGCGGACATCCTGCGAGCGGGCTACGCCCCCGAGGAGCTCAGGGTCGCGGACGCGGCGGACCCCGGCGCGCTCCTCGACGCGGGCTACGCCTGGGACGACGTCGCGGAGGCCTTCGACCTCAAGCGGCCGGACAAGCTCGCGCTGTGCAGGGGATCCTCAGA